AGAGAGAGAGAGAGAGAGAGAGAGAGAGAGAGTATTAATATTGAATTTATTTTGATCCTTTTTACAATAGGTGAAAGAAGACATGATTCTATAGTCTAAAAAACCGAAAATAATATTGATTCTTCCTTTACGAAAAAAGCAGTTTCGAAAAATTTTATTATTACATCTTAATGCCGTTTAAAATCCAATTAAGAGGGAACCTGGTTTATAGGGCTCAAAAAGTCGAATTTTCAAAAATTGTCTTAATCGATAGTAGTACTATCTTAGAATGTACCCTTAAAGTTTTAAGTCGAAATTCAAAATACTTTTCGAGTTACAGCTTGAAGAAGATCATGCGTCGGGCAGATATACAGCGTGCTCCGCTTTTCTAGTCTTTCGTAGAGGATTATCATTAGCTCGACAGATGTTTTGTATTAAGTAGATGAGTCATTGTTTATATTTATATGTTAAGGTTTATGTTTGAGCGTATTAGAGTAGCCGAGACAGTTATCAAGTAACAGTGAAATTTAGAAATAGCCCTTTGTGTCGTTATAAACGGTCAATTGAAAATAGTCGAAATTACTTCTTTATTGCCGTATGTGTCTTCAATGAAGGATTTAGCAGTATATTGAAGATGATGAACATGTTAGATATTAGAATTGGATTGCAAGCTCAAAATTTTGCCCACTCATACGACAAACAGCGACTTGAAGGCGAACTGAAAGGCAGCGGCGCCGCAGCTTAAGCAGCTCAAAAGAAGCTCGAACAGCGCGTAGAATGGAATTAACGGTTCAGAACGTATTCTATAAAGAAACTGAAGGATTATTATATGGATCTGGTATCCCAGATTAGCCTGTGATTGGTATAAATGGTACTTTTGTGTTCCGCAAACTTTAAATGCGATTTTCTCAAAACAGTATTTTCTGAGTTTGTGTACACGATCGAGATAACTCTAATAAACTGATTGAACTGTTTCTACGCTTGTTTTGTATCTGATTAGTTCCACTTCTAGGTGAACCTAAATGTTTTTGAAAAACGTTACATTAGACTAATTTTTTTGCAACACATAGTTGAAACTTTTTAATAAAAATCGTAACTTTTCTTTCAAAGTCGTTGAAAGTTAACAATTTTTGCTTTTTTTGTAAAGTTTTTGGTGCAACTAGAAGGTAATTATATACAAATTAACAAAATTAATTATTACAATTAACAAAAATAATTGTTTCTTTTGTCTCAAATAAAAATTACAATCGTTACAGTGTACACAGTGGAACAACTACTTACTTGACTCCATTTTTTAAACAAATAATCAATATTTTTTTATGAAAAAATTACTTTATAGAGATAAAATATGTAATAAAACATTTAAAAAATTTGGAAGTGATCAGTTTTATTCTAGCTGACAAAGAAATTTCTAAAAATCATACATTTTTCGACCTCCTAAACCAGGTTTTCCCCTTAATAACATCTAAAATTTTTCTTGCCTGATCACTGTAGCTGATAAAAAAAATAGTAGATATCATTACGATAAACAACTTATATATATCGAATTTTTAGAATTTTCGAATCGTGCAGCAATGACAAGTTCGCGAGAGAAGAAGTTGCAAAAATATACAGTTTATCCAGCGCGACGATTGTGTATGATTCGATCAAAACAGAGGAAGTGACTTATCAAGGGCTCCTTGAATGTAATGTAGTATAAGTAATGTAATCTACTCGAGATATTACCCATTCTGTCTGTTATTATTACTATCAGACACCGTTTCGCGCGACTTACCGAGAAAGAATATTTGCTATTTACAACTATGATCATATAAGGAAATAATTATTATAGTGGAAAAGCTATCTTTTTATTAAATTCTACTATAATGTTACTATTAATCTTACATGCATGCTACTAATTACCATTTTTTCGTTAGAATAACGAAAAAATATGGTTTGTGATTACGAAGTTTGTCATTATATAGAAATAACTATAATTTTAGTTAGATTAATCATTTGTTTCTCTCAGTACGAGTGATCGCAAAAACTTTGCATAAAAAGCCCTCTAGCGAAAACGAAAAGTAGGAATCAAAGTTCGAATCAATCAATCTATGAGCTTTGCAAGCTCACGAAGATATTCGTATAATTTTCGCGTGACACCGACGACAATCGTTCCCTTTGTCTCTCTGGGACATTTGAATCGGATGCGAGTCAAGCAGCCGGTCGCTAAAGAAGTTAACATCATTCGCGTGGAATTCTTTTTTCCTGACTTTCAAGGAAGGGTTATGGTGACGCGCGGTTGGTTGCATCCTGCGACGACGTATCGTGCTGATTAATTGCCAATTGTATAAAAGACATCCGTTGTTGACTATCGTACGCTTTAAAAAGTCGATCGACTTGCGATTGTTTCTCTATTACTCCGAAACACGATGCGATATATCATTTGAATTATTAATTGATTACATAGCACACCGAGATGACGTCGCACATACTAAGTACGCCTGAAATGTCACGAGCGCGACACAACCGAGTCGAACATAATTTGTGTGAACTATTTTTGTAACCTTGTGTACGGGGTGGTCGTTAAGTCGCGTAAACGGCGGACCTTGTACGGGGGCGCATTCGCTTTTCTCAGACGAGCGACGTCGAAATTAGCACCGGTAACTAAGACGACTGGCAGCTGGTCTCTCACGAACAGGCGGCTGGCGCATTAAGTGGCGTCCGCATCCGCGTGCGAACTCTTCTCCTTGGCTCGGCGGCTCGAGTTAACGTTTCGCCTCCGAGCAGAGATAAAAATGACCAAGTCTGATAGTAATTTACTCGGTAAATTACAATAAATTACTCGGTAATTTCGAAAAGCTGGTAAAATGGTAATTTAGGAAAAAAGTACAGAAATAAAAGAATTTGAGTATAAAGTTCAAAAGGAGCATTTAGCCTTCGAGATGAGTAAGATATTTATTTAACTCATATTTAAAATATTTTTAATATTTTATATTGATATACGCTATATATTGTATATAATAATTAGGAAACTAGATACTAGAGTATCTAGTTACTAGATACTTAGTAACTAGAGAAACTTAAAAAGAAATTAAAAATCTCAACCTATATTTTTCATACTTAATCTATATCTTTCTTATACAAGCTTACAGTATTTTTATGTATTATCTTATTGTTTCTGCGACTAGATTGTAGTATGTAATTGAAAATTCTTAGTAGTATTTTAAGAAAATAAAAATCTTAATGTTCTCGAAGGATTGTAAATAGTTTCTTTTCTTTCATCTGAGAGATATTTTAAAAATTATCTGATATATATTTGATGAGAATATAAGAAGAATATTGTTTTATCTTATGCATTAGTGCGGAAAACACGAATATTTGTGCATAAAAAACAATGAATTTACCAAAATTATCAATAAATTACCATCTTACCGTAATTTTATCATAAATAATCGTCACTTTGAATTTAACGGTAATTTTACATTTCTACCTACGAGTCAATATTCAATAAAAAAATGTCAATATTTTTGTTCGAACCAAAAGTGAAAATATCGCCACTCAAAATCGCGAAAATGAATGTTTTATTCGAGCTTAGAATGGATATTATATAAGCGAATGTTTCAATCAGTTAAAGTGAATATATCCCTATGATGGTGGAGTACATCAGATTCTCTTTAATCTCGAGTAAAAATATTCAGTCAATAATTTAGAGTAGAGAATGTGCACTCTATATGAGTGAAAAATCACTTGAATTCCAATGACTCAATAATCATTCTATTTTTAAATAGAGTAAAAATTTATCCCAAGAAATTTGAAAAGTATAAAAATGGGCCGCACATTCCCATTGAAGGGAATACCATTTGAAGAGAGACCATTAATAAAAGCTGAAAATGCCATTAATAAGAGAGGGCAATAGAATAGGAGATGCTTTTCCAGCCGTCTTATAAAAGAGTAAGATACTTTCTTTGTCTAATTATGTAGTTGACTGAGAAGACTAAAGAAACCTCCTACAGTACTGTGTAACAAAGAAAAAGATATGTCCTTGTCCTTTATTCCTGTTTTCCGTCATTTTATAAGAGAGTAAAAGGCTGA